CAATACCCTCTCTCGCTTTCAATCTAACAATCAAGCATAAGTAGTTCCTACACACCTTTCTACCACCGTTCTTCACATTCAATGTATTTCCTAAGCTATTAATTTCAATAGCCTCTCTTTTCTTTCTTTTAACCAAATTACGCAACCCCAGTCTTGCCTTCCCTTGGAGGGTTAAAAGTTAATTACTCTATTCTGAAAGGTTAGGACAAATGGTTTCGTAACTTGACTTACATGTTTACAAGCTCATATCTCATTATCTCAACCCTACTTGTTAACGAACTTACGCAGTCTCGATCAAAGCTTTACCTTGGGTCATTAGGCCTTGATGATCAGAACCTGAGATTAAAACGTTGACAATCTGATTTAGAAACCGTATTGCATATAGACGCTAACACGCACAAATATATATACGCATACACTGGAGAAAAAGTAACAGGACCAGTAGAAAGGTAATTAACCGAACCACTCTATATCGATCTATCTAGGTTTTTAATTTTTATTTGGTTCAAGTGAGTTTATAGAAGAAATAAGATAGAGCCTAATACTGTTCTAAGCATAGTGTTAACGTAAGACTCTTACAAGAATGAAACCCAGCTCTGATGATGTCCATCATATTATGGACGAAAGCTCAGCACATTTTGACCCAAAACAAGGGAGGAAGTCCTGTGGACTGCATCAAAATGAATATCGTATAAAAGCCAAACGGCTGCAGTACAACGAGATTCATCTGTCCTCATCTGGTGAGATCGACCGACGAATCTCTTCTACATTCACTTTCATGCGAACTGAAAGTCCCTCTAACAATATTATCTAAAGAGATTCATCGAAACCCAGTTTGTCTTCATATATACATGCTATAACCATTACTCCGATTGTGCAAGTTCGAACACACGTCTGGTTATGTTGATGAATCTATTTTTTGTTTTTGGTCTTAATGCGAGAGAGAAAGAATGAGCTAAAAGTACAGAGAAGTTACTATGATTAGAACCAAGACAAGAAAATACTAGTTGCGTCGCCTAATTCTTGCAGGCGGCTCAACTTCCTCTCTATCCTTAAGACTATTAAGTAAGCGCAAATAATTTTTACTTATCGACCTTCGAATCTCTTCACCAAATAATTTTACTCTAAATGGAAGCTCAACAATTATGAAATAATAGCTTTCTCGGAATTCAACTTTTCCTTGCATATACTACGCACCTACGGCATGAATTTTTATTAGCTTTCTTCTGGCTATACGAAAACCAAGAAATCTATTTCCCGGAAAGTCAATATTATTAGATTTTTAAAAATTTGTATTTCACATAATGCAGTTTCTCAGTAGACGTCCAGATTTCTTCTAATTGGAAACTAGGGCATGTATCGGTGATTTGGTTAAGACTAGACTCAAAGAAAGTATAGAAAAATTACATGACCTGATTAGAACCAAAACAAGGACTAGACAATCCCTTTCTCTGCTATTTTTTGAAGAAGACTTTCTAAAATTGCAGAAAATAGTGAAGGGTCTGGCGGATAGGATGGATAAGATCCATAGAACGTGACATGATAAGAAATTAAGGAATGTAGACATTAACATAAGCTCAAGTAATCGTAAAAACACTAAGGAAGTAATTGAACTTAGTGCTATTTTTTCTAGCAAAAAAAAAGTCATTAATTTATCCAGTATACCTATATATACTAATGTTACGCTTGTCTTGAAAAAGGGTCTAAACTTTACCTTTCCAAATTAGCAAAATCATTCTATGGAGATACTGGTTGAGTTAATTAACTTAACGGACAAGCTGCCAAAAGAGGTTAAGGATAGTATAGAAAGAGAAGTGATTCCTCATTTTGATGAGGTAATTATCCTAAATAAATCGTTTGACTTGAATAAGGTTTCTAGTTATTTGCACCAAAATGATATTTATTTTAAAGGCATAAAAAGGTGGTGCAGTGACCATCATGGATAGATCAAGTTATAGAAAAAATGATGGTTCATTTAAACGACTCAATAACTTACAGGCTTTTAGTGGAGGATCCCACAGAAAGTCTTAAGGCCAGACTTAGGGAATCGCTCAACTTTTGTGCAAGCAGAAGAGAAATTGAGAAGTGTAAAATGAATTCACTTCTTCGGAGGGATGCTAGGGCACCTTCAGCTTAAGGCCTTCCAAAAATACACAAGGACACGTTTGGTCGAAGGATAAGCTTCACTTATCTCTTTGACGAGTTGTTGTGTAGTGCTAAGAATGGCGAGACTCATTGACGATGCCGGTGAAGCGTCTGAGAATGTACCAAGTCCACTGTCTTATGCTGGGGAATCATGACAACTACTATGGCAGACGACTTCGGACTAGGTGCGTTCTACTAAATCGCCCTTACAACAAGACCAAGTTGCGACAACGAAATCAACCCACTTCTACAAAGAATTGTGTGATTTAGAATTGTAATACAGAGAAACATAATAGCCAAGAAAGGTCGATGGCAAAACGGGAATAATGAAAG